GAGAAGAATAAAGTTTCTGACCTCATGGAGCTTACATCACATCTCTTGATGTTTACCTTCTAGTAAAAAAATAGAACACAGGAAAATAAGTGTATGTCAGGTGGTAAGTCAAGGAAGAAAAGAGAACCAAACGGAGGGCCGAGAAGGTTGGCAGTGCTAGTATAGCCGCGAAAGCTTCGCTCAGACCTTTTCCTTGGTCATATGACCTTAAAAAGTGTGGTTAAAGAACGCTGACGTGTTCCAGCTATGCAATCACGCTTGAACAGGATTCCCCAGTAACTGAAAAGCAGATGGACGTGAGCCTGCCCATCAACGCCCTGGTCCGGCGAGACCACTCTGTGTATTATGAAGTCCAGAACCAAATGCGTGTTCTCTGACCCTAATGTCCTCATTTATAAAGTAAAAACCAATGTATCTTAGGGTCACTGTAAAGACCCACCAGCCAGCATATATAAAGTGTCAGAAACACAATCAGCACTCAGTGAGTATGAGCTCTGTGCTTTCCCTGTTTCCCCCTTCCCCTGCCCCAGGCTCTTACCCTGATAAAAGCAGCTGCCTTCTTCCCAGGCATACATGATATGACAAGAGGTCCTTGCGGAGGAACTGTTAGAGATTAGACTGGTTTTTCTTTATCACACTGTTTCTATAGAGCCTAAATATCTTTAGAAAACTTGGAGTGAAAATAATTTCTCACTGGGTTCCTCTAGAGTCTCGATGGGCCTAGTAGTCACTCCCACTAGCCTCTCCCTTTGTGGAAAAGGTGCCCAGACAGAGAAGAGCTCATGGAAATGCCGAGAGCGAATGAAGGCACTGAGTTCAAGTCTCCCATCACGCGGTAGTGCTGCACACAGAGCATAGCCAGTGGTTGTGTAACATCTGTGTTGACAGCAAGTGCAGTGGTGGGACTGAGGATTTAATACTGTGGGTACCTGTTGAGCCACTGTGTTGTATGCCTGAAACCAATATAATATTGTATATTGACTATACTTCAATCAAAACAAATGCCCTGCCATGTGAGCAGGCGAGTAGGTGGCTCCACACACCCGTGGGATTTTGGTATTGACTATGGCGTCTCTCCACCATGTCACAATCAGGATAAATATGAATAATTATTTAACAATCTAAATCTCACCTTCCACTGCCCCCCACGGTTCCACATTAACAAAGAAAATTCCCTGCTATTTTTTTTTATAGCAGAAGAAACCTATCAATACTGACACACAGTAAAATGTGGCTTCCTTACCCAGATGGTTGAAATTCAGGTAATTCTAAATGCTTTTAGGCCTTCAAATGTCTTTTCATCACCCATCAAAACCAACCTCATTAGTCTATCACCCGGCCACTCCTAATAAACTGCTGCTTTTGGTGAAGGAAAGCTCTGAGCTAGAAGTAAGGAGACTTGATTCCTGGGACCTGCATGGGGACGTTTAACTTCGCAGAGTTCAGTGTCCTGGGCTCGCACAGGGTGAGCTCTGGGGCGCAGCCTGGGTATCTCCTGAGGTTTTCCCAAGAAAACGTCTTCCTCTTCTATTCTTCCACCAGTTGCAGGGCTTCCCCAGGCCTAGGCCCCACCTGCAGCACTGCCTCGGCCCGAGCCCGCAGGACCTTCCTCCCCTACGCCGGTGCTTCCGAGACGGCGCCGAGTCTCCTGTCCTGCTGGGCATCCCGTCCAGCGATCATCACGTGATGACAGACACCGGCTGCGCTGCCCCGTCTTCCTCCGTTAAACACACTCAGCATCTCCTCAGTCGTCCCACCCTCCGGAGGGAGGCACTGCAAAGACTCTCAGCAGTGTTAGGAGATTTGGGACCCCCTTAGGAAAATCACTAAAACTACAAAAAGCTAGTACTTTTTTAGCTTTTTCTCCAAGTAGACCTAAGTGAATGAAGATCAGAGATGTCACATGCCTGATACTCTATTTTATATACACAACAGATCAACTACTGCAAACTTTCTATCTTGCTTTTATTTACGCACACCCTGGCCACGGTCCAGGCCCCCAGCCCCCGGCAGGAGCAGCACGGGGCGGAGCATGCTTGGGACCTAGCTTCTCACCTGATCCCCTCTTCTCACTGCTGACTATATGAATAAGTATTTTTAAATAATTATTCACATTTATTTCACTCTGTTTGGTTGTAAAGTCCACCTTTGTCCCCATCTCCACATTATTAGGCAAGCTCTAGTGCCCAGAAATAATGAAAGGGTTATTTCGTATGATGGAAAATCCCATGCTATCCAGAAATATGAATGAAGAAAAAAGTCAGCTGCCAGCAAGCATCCCTCCAGCATAACTGATCCTGTTACAAACCACCTATGATGGTACCAAAAAGAACCAGAGTGCTCAAGGACGCAGCATGTGCTACAGCATGCTTCCCATACTTGGCCTTGATGACTAAAAATCTTTCAAAAACTCCAGGAAACTAGCCTAAGGTGGACAACTTGTAATTTTTCAGATAAGGCCATTAAGAAGAAAGGAGACACTACCCTCTACTACTGCCATTTCATCTCATTTGCAAAAGGGAAATTTGGTGGTATATCCAAGCAGTGGAATATTATTTGGCCATAAAAAGGAATGAGGTCCAGACGCATGTTACAACACGGATGAACTTGGAAACATTAAGTGGAGGGAAATAAACCAGACACAGCAGGACAAACATTGTATGATTCCACTCACATGAGGTATCTAGAGGACTCAAATACACAGAGATAGAAAGCAGATCAGAGGTTTGCAGAGACCAAGGGGCCCTTAATTGAAACAGAGTTTCTGTTTAGGGCAATAATCAAATTGGAAATAAATAGTGGTGATTGTTGCACGACCTCATGTAATTAATGCCACTGAACTGTACTTTTAATAAATGGTTAAAACGGCCCAAAAGGGGGACATTTTCACACACATATACACACACAAAAGCATAGAGGTAAACATCACCCACGGATGCTTTCATTGAGGTAGAAGGGAAGGATAGGCGCAGATCCAGGTGAGTGTGCCAGCTCAGCAGCGGAAACAGAGCTCTGGGCCGACTACTGAGAATGAAGGCTCTTGGGATTGGAATCTTATCTCTTCTATCTGCTCTGTACTCTTTTGTCCAGCTTTTAATATACTCTCCAGGATCTGGCCCTAGTTTACCCACCCGACACACTCACTGATGTGAACTGTCCCTTCCGTCAGGCAGTTCTCCCCAGCCCGGAACACCCTGCGCCTTCCCACCTCCGTCTCCTTATTCATGTTGCCAAAGGTCATTTGTCCCGCCACATCCTCCCCATCTTCGCGGCCAGCTCACCGACCACCCCCACCCAGAGGAGGCTCTCTTCCCTCACTATCCTATCTTCCTAATCATCCTGGTGCCTTCCCTGGCCTTGAGCACCAACAGCAAATAAGATGCCATTTCCCACTGGACTTTACTTACCCACAGTAATGGGCTGACTAGCGTTCTCCATCTGTTAGTCTCGTGTGGGCTGCTTCTCCATCTTACTTGGGGTGAACCTTATTTAAGCAAGTACTAGCAGTCTTGTAAGTACTCCGTGAGTACTACTGCTGTCGATTAGTGAATAATAAACAATAGTTGGCATTTATGTAGCTCACATGCTGCTCACTACTGCCCCGTCGTCATGGCATCATTGTTACCACAGTGTCCTAAATCCTCACAATAAAGTGACGAATGGAATATCAGCTCTGTTTAAATGGAAAAGAACTTGAGGTGTTGAAGGACTAAGTGACCTATGCTAGTCCAGGCTAGTTAAGAAAAATTAATAATTAATAACATTTAATAATAACACTAAGTAATGAAAACCAATCACCTCATGGATTAAAAATCTTTCCTAGCATAGGTCCAACTAGGAAAGTCGTCTTAGGTAGAAAATGTTATATTTATTTAGTTCTTTAACAGATACTTTGTCACACAACCTGGATCTGCCTTGCAAAGTTATGTCACAAAACTATTTTCATCTTGAAGAGTTATTTTTTCACCTTTAAATAGTTCACAAGGAATGCGTTATTTGTTGTAGAAAAGTAACAAGACAAGTCGGGGGAAGTCTATAATCCTACTACCTAAAGCCAGCAACGACCAACTGCCATTTATCTCTTCACACATTTGTCTGAGTATATTGTAGACCCCACCCTTCTTTGATTAGAAAACGGAGTGTTTGGGTGTATAAATATAGATAGCTTTGTTAACAGGCTTTTTA